CAAAGAAGAATGCGAAAATCTTCTTGAATTTGTTATCAAACATAAAAACGTAATAGAAAACAAAAAAAGTGATGCAGTTACATGGCAAGGAAAGCAAAAAGTATGTATATCTCGTATTATTGTATGTTAAAATGTGATGGTAAACAATAATGGCACAACTAACATGATGAACGACTGAAGATGCCAATTGTACACTCACTCCTGCAAAATCTGCTATGGATAGCAACATGTTACTTATTGCATAAAGCCGAAGTGTTAGCAACAAACGGTTTGAAGGAGGTACAGCATTATTACTAAAATGTTGATGAATTTTACATTAAATAATAGCAATCAAGAAATTGCTTGCATCATGGATGGAGGTTTTATTACATCTTTTATTTGATTCAAAAGGTGATGAAAACTTTTTTTCGAGAGACGAAATCTCATTATAAATTCAACATCTGAATGAATATTTAAATGATCAACTCTACTCCTTATTATCCTTATTATCGCTTCTTATAGGAAATAATTCGTTGATTTCTTCAAAAATTTGTTCTCCATTTCCAATGTCGAAGAAATTATCCATGATGATTTTATCTAATGTTAATTATTAATAGTTTTTTATTTAAGTTTATATTACTTTTCTTATTTTAACTGAAATAGTAAAACGCTCGAATTTTATACGTTAGTATACATTCTATTTGAGGTTAGGTATCCGCAGTTATCCCTTAGATAGCAACTTATCCTATACCCAATCCACGGGTTACAGATATTTCAAAAGTTATCTCTTGGATAGCGGTATCTATAAGATAAATACAGTGGTAGTAACCAATTTTTAAGCTATCCGATATATAACGCTATCAGAGACTTTAACTATGAGTGGTAGTAGTGGGCCTTAGGGCCACTTTTACCACCTCCTGATAAATTTATCCGATAGATAAATCCAATTCTTAGCCAAGGAGAGCGCTTAAAACCGCCGTAACCATGGCAACTATCCTCCAGATAGTTTATCAGGAGGATGGTAAAAGTGGGCCTTAGAGGATAATTCGAGATATAGAAGTTCGAGTTAGTGGAGTTTCACTGTATATTAATAAGAGTCACGCAGAAAGTGAAGAAACCGAGAGGACGACACCTGGGAAGAAACTTCTTCTGATTAAAATTAAACAACATTATATTGAGTCGTAATTTTTTTAACTTTTTACAATCATGGATATAAACTGAGCTATGCCCGAATAAATTGGTCATTAAAAAAAGTTTTTCCCTCGTTGTACACGACAAATAATTGATTTACACAATCTTTTTTATAGTCCTTCCAATTTAGCTGTTAATTTTTACTATATCGGTTCTTTTATGCCTGCATTCCAGCACTCAAACTACGGCCTTTATGTGACATTAAATTCGCTAGTCGCGTTATATGGCTTTAAGCCGTAACGAATTTTATGAGTGGTGAACTGCAAAAAGGGTTTTTGATGTGTACTGTTCTGTTGATTAATGAGAATTTTTTGTATATCAACATGATAAGAAGATAACATTTTATGTAATTTAAATGGACGGCAGTTTTTATTAGGTAAGAAAGATTGTTTCATTTATTTCTTCTGGTTAATTATAATCACATTAAAAAATAACCACAAACACATCGATAAATTCAAGAAGCACTCTTTCATTAATACTCTGTGTTTACTATGTTACATATTGTGGTTTTGATATTACGTATTAGGTTATTATAATTTATGTTTAATTATGTCTGTGTCTTTAGTGATTGTTATGAAAAAAAGGTAATTTAATTCGAATCATTTATTATTATTATTATTTTTGAAGACCGATTTTAATTAATTTCTATAATTAAACCTTCTAAAACGAATAATAAATTAATTATTAAAAAATTACAGTTAGCATTTATAAATATAAGGATATAAATTTAAAGAAAAGTTAATTAACTTGGTTTATTTTTTTTCATTAAATTAATAGGTTAAACGATCCTTTTCAATATCTTCTCACAGAAAAATTTTAAATTACGGTGTAAAATTTGTTACATAAAATTGGTGGATTCTTGATTTTAACTTTAATCAGTTTCGCTAGAAGGATAATTTTCCACTTTCTATAATAAATTGAAAAGATCTTTTGAGAAATTGAAAAGAGGGTAAGTGATTAAGATTATACTAAAAATCAATAAATGATCTTCATGTAGAATTCTGTTACTCTAATTAATTAATATACAGGGTGATTTATTAGCTCACCATCAAACTTTGACATATGATAGCTAATCCAATCACCAAAAAAAAATGTTAATGAACATAAATATGTCCTATTTCACTTATTTACAAAATTATAACATTTTACAGTGTTAATTTTTATATCATAATTAACTGCTACATTTTTTTTAAAACATAAATATTACAAATATTGTTCAAAGTAGCCTCCTTCTGCTAAAATACATTCTTCGCAACGACGAATTAAAGAGTTTTTCAGCCGAGTTAGAATGATTAGAATTAGGAACTTAAACAACATAAAGAAAAACTTAGTTTTCTTTGTGATCTATACAGATTCAATAAAAATTCGTACACACTTGCTGAACGTAACAAATATCGTAAATCTTATAAGTTAGCAGTTAGTCAAGCTAAAAGAAATGCCAATGACAAATTTATTTTGAATCACACAAATCAGACTTCTGCTATTTGGAAAATAATCAATATTAATAAAGCCCCTCAAAGAGTCAACGAAATGGATAGTAATTTAGATGCTGAACAACTTAATGGTGGTGCTGATTCTTTGTCATTATTTATTGAACATGTTAATTGTGCTAATAATAAATATTTTATCTGGTCTTGTTTGGTCTAAATTCAACGTTTTAATTCAATGTTAAAAAAAAAGTTAAAAATTGTCTGATTCCAGTATTGACTGCTTTGTTTAACCAGTGTCTATCCGCTGGCTACTTTCCTGGCGAATTTGAGATTGCAAATGTCTTACCGTTAGTCAAAAAAGGTGATATTAATGAGGCTTTGAACTACAGACCGATTAGTATATTACCTGTATTGTCAAAAATTTTTGAAAAACTATTAAAAAATCAATGAATCAAATATTTTGAAGATAATAATATTTTTAATAAACAACAATTTGGTTTTAGAAAGGAAAGTCTACCGCTACAGCTATACAAAGCTTTATTGAGTATGTAGTCGATGGTTTCGAGACTTCAAAATACACCGAATCAAATTTCTTAGATCTCACAAAAGCTTTTGATTGTGTATGTCGCCCCAGAGGCATGTAAACTTTTGTCATCCTATCTTACAAATAGAAAACAATTTGTTAAATTTAACTCTTTGGTATCTAACCCTGGGATTATTGATAGTGGGGTTCCCCTTGGGTCCTATCTTATTTTTAATGTATATAAATGACTTGCCTTCATTTTTGAATCCTGAAAAATCAATTTTGTATACAGACGACACAAGTTTGTTAAATAAACATTCATCTAAAAAGCATAAGCTACCGAAAATAATAATTTAATGTCCATTTCGGCTAGACATTGGTTTACAAGTGATCAGCTAACGTTGAATAATGATAAAACAGACCTTTTCACTAAAGCACGCAGATAAAAGTATGGATTCTGATGATAGTTTCAGATTTTTGGGCGTGCATGTTGACCCCGGACTTACCTGGAGTTTTTATGGCGAAGCTTTAGCTTCTCGTTTAAGCTCCACAGCCTTTTTGTTAAGACGTCTTTCTGAATTTTCTTCTACGGAGGTATTGCATGTAAAGATTATTTAGTATACAAAGAAGAGCCATTAAAAATATCGCCAAATTAAACTATACTGAAGACTGCCGCTCTTCTTCTATCAATTTAAAAATTTTAACGCTGCCTTCATTATACAGGTGTCTCACGTAACTGGTTCGTTAGAACTTTTTAAGGTTCCACTATTCGTAGTGGTTTGAAATTTTGGTAGCATGGGTTGTTCATTCTAAACTTTCGATCTAAAATATTTTCAAGATGGCCACCCCTTGCGGTCTACCGGAAGTAGACCACAACTTCGTTATTTTAAATGGAATACTATAGTTTTTATTACACCTTTCAATTATACGTAAAAAAATATGTTGACTTTGATAAAAGTTGTTGGTACCTAGCGTTTTTTGTTTTCGAGTTATTTTGATTTTAAGTGTTTTTTGACAAATTTCACCATGGTCTTTAAAAGCCCATATCTCAGCTAACGATCATTCAAAAAAGCTCTGCATTGGCACGACTACTCTACAGATGCTGCCAAATAGATTGTCATTTGTTGTATCAGAGAATCTTATACAGGCTGGTCAAAAATTGAATTATCGTTTCTCAATATTCAATTGCGAGAAAGTCGAAAATTTTAAATGGAACACCCCATATTTCTTTACCCTATCAGAAAGGGAATTTAATTCTCTACAAATTATCTATAAACATTCCTATACCTATTTATTGTAGTTTCCCTGATATTGGGACATTAATCAAAGCATGCACGGAATGCGGGAAAACGTTTGATTTTTTTATTAGAAGGCAATGGAATTTTGACAGTTTTTGGTCCATATTTGTGTTATTGTTGTTGTTACTTACTTTTGATCACGAGTGAAAGTCATTGTATATCATGGCAAATTATTCCAACGCCGATATTTTAAATTTGTTTTATATTCATGGCAATGGCCT